TGATTAAAAAAGAAAGGGTCATAGCTCGTAATCTAGTGGTCGGCGGACTTTCGGGATTGCACCAGCGTATTTGGAGCACCTCGAAGAACATAGTAAGTAATCATAGCCTCGTTACGGCAACATTTTCCCCCACTTGGCAGAAGCAGGCTCTCGACTTAGTAAAAATCCACCCAATTTGGGTAGTTTTTCCCTCATAACACAGGCGCATTTGATTCGATTAAGTTCGGACCTTTTTTTCCCAGATTTGGTATTGCGGCCTCCATATGTGAACAAATTTTGCGGAACATCGGAGTATGGTTTTTATATCGTATGCCGATATGGTCAATTCAGTGAAAAGGAGACGTTTTTATTTCGGCGATTTCTTGCCAATCAGAGGTCGGCGATACAAATGGTTACCAGCAGTGGATTGTCGAGGTCCGAATGTATATATGGGTAAGGTTTTATGAAGAACAAGCGACATTCACAACTTTTTGCAGTGCGTAGAAATGTGGTCCCCTATCTTTTCATTCAACCCGTCAAGCTCGCCTTTGGTGCTTTCCACGTGATGTCCTTTGACGATGCTTGATGTTTCCCTCACACTCCTTTGTCTTTCCCTTTTTGGATTCCCCGATGCCCCGTTTCATGCACCACATTTTGCCCACGTCATTCCCTGTTTATTGCTTTCCCTGTTTACCTGTTCCCTGTTAGTACTTTCTTTACGTGTTCTTTTCCCTTTACTCATCACTTTTGTTATCCTTGCTTCCTTTCTGACTTTACGACTTTCACTTCATCTCATTCCACTTTACTTGTTATGTTGTTCATTCACACTTCTACATTGACATAGTACGACGGCACCACGATTGCACCCTGATCTCACATTCGTCATGGCAACGACTTCTCTTGCGACGTCTTATCATTTTTATCACTCACTCGGTTGTCCCCGAATGCACCATGATCATACATTATCATTCAGACGCACTATATGTAAATCCAGACACACTAAGATACACGCACACGCACACACACACACAAGCACACGCACACACACCCATATTGTTATTATCATTGTCATCATCATCCTTGTATTTGTCAAGTCAATATAAATTAGCTCAATGATTGAATAAAGAAAGACAAGCTTTTTGAAGCCGAAGATTTGAAGAAGGATTGTTTCCTATTGCTGATCGCTGATATTGTGCGAACGAGACCCTTTTTACCTTTAGACTATTCACACACCCCTCCCATTGTTCCCTTTCTCTCTCTCTCTCTTTGATTATCTTTTCTATTGTTCATTGCAGGTTGATCTTTCAGTCTTCAGTGTTCATTGTTTATTTTACATTTCATTTGTATTCATTGTATTTCTACTTGCCGGTGGAGTCTTTCTTATTTTATCTACCCTACACACACAACTTACCTCCCCGGATATTCTTGAACAACCCTTAGCACCGCACGTGTCATGGTGTTAGGATCCATATCCAAAAGCTGAGGGCAACCACCGCCTTAATTGGTAGTTGAGGTAAAGTAAGTCTATATGATTAAGACTTGCCTTATATAGATTTTTTTTCTTTTTGACTCGGTGGAATGACTCGGATGCATGTTATGTAAGATTCATTAACCATAAATAGCATAGTTTAGTGGCAGCGGAAGCTTCTTCAAAGAGTATAAAAAGGGATTATTTACTTAAATGCTCCCATGTCCATTTACTTTTTTATTTCACTCACTCAACTACAGGATTTCCAAGATGAACAGGAACATGAGGATAATGATTTCGTGGTTGAGGTATATGGTTTCGTGGGTGATGATCTTGGTTTCGCGCATAATGATATATGAGTTCGTGGGTGATGGTTTTGGTTTCGTGGGCTACGCTTTTGGTTTCGTGGGCTACGCTTTTGGTTTCATGGGTGAGATATTTCAATAAAAAGAGACAATGAAAGAATACGTTGAGAATCGATATATATTCAAGTGCCGTTTACAGCTACAATTGCAACATGTCTTATATACGTTTCTATGATACTTGTGTAATGGTGCTATGTATAAGGAGGCGGGATGTACATATAAGGATCTCGGCTAAACATAGGGTAGTGGATGGCGTATGTATGTGTATGGATGCTGGTGATGGCGTTCTCCTTGTGATGAGGGCGTAAGCGTGGTGGCACCTTTGCTTGTGGTCTTGTGTTTGGTAATGGTCCATGGGCGTAATGATACTTGAAATACGACAATGGGCGGCACTTTTGGTTTCGTGGGTACCGCCTTTATTTTCGTGCTCAGATTCAATTGAATTAGCGCTCGCGGAGAATGATTTCGTGGGGGATCATTTAATGTTCGTGGGGGATCATTTAATGTTCGTGGAGGATCATTTAATGTTCGCGGAGGATCATTTAATTTTCGCGGGTTGGCACATATGGTTCGTGGTCTGCTATCATGTTTTCGCACTGAATGATTGATAATTCGTGCGGATCAGTAAAGTGTTCATGCAGGGCTTCGTAATTCTTCGCATGTGGGTAGTCTTTATTCATGCTCTGGATCTCATTATACGTGTTTGCTCAAGTTTATTTCATTGGGGGTGGGTCATAGTCATCTAGCAACGAGGAAGGCGGAGAGCCGTTTGGATATAAAAAAGGGGGAAGGTAACAGCGTACGAGGCGTTCCTTTCTTTACTTTGTCAAACTCAACACGTGTCCGGTTTACGTTTTCTCAACGATTCTATCCAATAGCGTCCATCAATCAGCAAGTCTTATGCAATGGTGACCAGCAATGAAGTGCATGAAGTATATGAAGATAGCAAAGGCAATCAGGAAGTTTGGGAAAGACGTACTCTTTTGTTTGTCTTGTTAGGGCAACCCTTTTTCTTTTCTCTTACGGATTACAACACGCGAACGACAATGGCATTCCACACATTGACCACGGCATAGTATCGAAAAGTAACATGGCAGAGTTACGTGGAAGTCGACTAGTGCAGCTGACGAGAGAGTTGGACACTACAATATGGCAGCATATCAAAGCACCCTGTTGCACGATTAACAACAAGAGATACACCACCTGCCAGCATGATACGAACCGAGGTGATAGTACTGCGTATATAGAATCATACATTTGGATGTTGGATGGCAATAAATGGGATGGATCGGATTTACTACCAGAGCTTATGCATGCATGACCAATACACAAGCTGAAAAACGGCTAGACTACACGATAACAACGAGCGGTTTGGATGTTGGAGGGTGATGGACTGCAAGAGCATCAAATGATGATGGGAAATAAAGTGGATATGTACACATGATGATCATCCATGCACTCAAATGTTGGAAAAACGTTGAACTATCGAAGGCGCTGGCTGATCACTACCCTATAAGCAATACACATGAATGCTTTCCCACAAACACGAGGGTACAAATACAAGTGGTATACAAGGCTTGTGAGAAGTACTCTTTTTCTCTTATTCCATACTTCATGCCTCGTCGATATATATCTATTGACCCTGACTCTTCTGATACCGCTTCTCTTTATTCGGATGACAGTGATTCGTTGATACAGTTCCAAATGCAACAGGGAAATGCACTTCAACGTTGCGGTGTGTTCACTATTATTGATTGAATGACATTATACATACATTGACCTTGGGCCTGTCTAGCTTTTGATCGACCAAGCAATGATCAACAGGTTCCAACTAGCAGAAAAAACAACATTTTTGACGACATAGATGAGGATCAAGTTGTGCCTACTTGAATTGTACCCATATTATAAAATGCACATACATATAATTCTACAATCAATATGCCAATTGCCGGCTTTATCTACAAGGTTGGCACCAATTGGTCTTCTCGCTCTCGGTCATTGCCAGTTCCAATGTATGATGGCATGTCGTCTGGTACTACCCTTACTTCCGATGAAGTATCTATTTGCTACCATATTAATGTGCGTGGCTTTAGTTGTAAGAGGTAAAGACCTTCTTCTGCCTCTGATTCGAGCAACTCGTATTCCTCGTCGTCAGAGGATATTGTCAAATCGATGACTTCCTCATCGTCAGAGGATATTGTCAAATCAATGACTGTTTCATCCGAGTCGTCTTCAGGGTTATAGAGTACTGTATCAGCGTCGCTGCTTGACATTGGAAAGAGATGAAGGTTTTAGTGGCACTTACTTGTCTCTTTTTAGGCTGTCTTGTGTACTACGTATTCCATATGGTGCTGCATGCTTTAACCTTTCTGGTTCATTGGTACCTCTTATGTTTCGCCCAACACAATTGCTCATATCCAAAACTACACGTAATCATTTTTGTGGGAAAAGCACACATAAGTTAGATACTCTTAGTGTTATGCTGCCCTAGTTTTGAAGTGGTTAAACATCGATACGACCTTTCGCTGTTACACCAGAGTCCAACACAAATAAAAGGTGCCTTTTCCTTTTCACGAAACCCTCTCTCTTTCAACTATGTTTCCATTTATTATGCATTCCAACTATTACGCAAAATCGAACGGTCGACAATGCTTGCAATGTGATGCAAAAGGCAAGACGATGGCAATACACTTGCCTGATTACATTGCGTCCATCCAAACGCGCAATGAAAAGATCTTTCACGACGTCTTTGGGATAGAAGTGAAAACGCCTCATGCCAGCAGCGGTCAGCAGCCGCTCAACGACAAGTACAAACCGGCTTTGGAAATGAAAAAGAGCTACCGGTTGCTGTAAGTCTTTTCATTTGGTATCTTTTGATTCTTTTGAACGTATTTTTGTTGACATTTCTATGTTCAGCCCTCGCGACCTCCCTAAGGGTGACGGCATGACATCCTCGCAAGCCTCGTACGCGAGGGACAATTATGCCGTTTACCGCTTGGAAGGTAAGCTTCCACATGACTACCATGGGTGGCCATCTAATCGGCTGTTCACATTCAATAGCAGCGACAAGACCTGAGGGTGAGGTGAAAAAGCCTCATGCCAGCAGCGGCCAGCAGCTGCTCAATGACCGTTGCAAGCTGGCTTTGGAGATGAAGAAGATGTTGGATGCCATGGTGGAAGGTAAGGATACTACATCACATAATGGCCCTGTTACTAAAGTGTGATAAAAATAGGCCACGAATGCACCACCTTCAAGATGGAGCTGGTATCAGCAATCAGAAGCGGTGCTCTCCTGTTGTTCGTGGCCTGCTTGTAGAAGGTAAAGAAATTACATCACACAATGGACGTGTTACTAAAGCGTGAAAAAACAAGGCCACGAGTGTACTACCTACAAGATGGAGATGGTGTCGGAGGCAGTGTACACCTTAACGCTGCTAACCATATCCAAGCTCAGCAAGAGCAGATCGTAGAGCTCAACCGGAAAAGGGCGGCCAGAGAAGATCAATTGAAAAAATGGTCGCCCTTATCAAACATCGCGATGATGGTGACTACGAGAAGTTTTACCGGACAATAAAGAACGCGCTGTTCAATATTTATGGCAGCTTCAAAACATTATGTGTGGTTCTCAAAGGTGTATCATTGATGGTATTAAAAGCGTCCTTTATTGCTGCTGGTTTCTGCTTCTAATCTCTTCCAAATAAAGACGTGCTCCAGCACGCACATGATCTTGCTACATGCTTGTAAGACGTCTTGCCTCATGGCATATAGCATCGTAATGCTCGTAGTTCTTGTTTGCCTCATCGGCAAAAAACGAACCTGCTGCGTCTATGAGAACGTGCAGCGGAGTCCAAGGGAAGTATTGCTCTGGAAGCAAACGAGCAAGATTCAGGGCCGGGTGGCCTGGCTTGAGCTCACTATTGGCTTATGTCAGTTGTTGTAAAGCGATGTAGTGTCCTCGCGTCTATCAACTCACCCAAGGGTTGCGGGAAGAATGGCTGGAGATTGGGACACGTTTGATTGTGGTAAACATTTCTCTAATTTTCGCCTTTCTTTATATAGTCAGCGTAATCTACAGCCCAACAGTGTCCCCTTCCACAAGTCAACTTTGTGTACGCATTCAGTGGCAGTTTAGCAAAAGAGCTCACATGCGATGAGTGTTTCAACACATCGTAGCGTGCAACCTTTCATGGCCCCAATTCACCCACATCTGTGTTTGTTTATACAACTTGCAGGACCCACAAACTTGACCAAGATCGCAATCCCTGTATGTGATGCCACAAACATGGGTCGTCTTTTGGAAGGAATGAGCATCCGTATACGGAGAAGTATCACCGCTCACATTACCCACCAAGAGTATAAATACAGGGTGCAAATAGGTGCCCGACTTTAAAAAATGTCACTCCCAATCCCACAATCCATTGTGTAAGGTCTTCTTTTATGTAATCATTGCACCTGAAAACCTAACAATGTTTCTGTATAGTGAAGCTACTCCTGATCAATTGGTGGCTGTCCTTGTTCGTGCCCTTCCTGGCGATCTCGATGAGGACACCGATGTAGCGGTGTTACTGAAACATGCTATGGACTTCATCGTCAACAACTGTGATTCGCCGATATTGAAACTGGTGTTGTTCGTTACAGGTCGCTTGACCAAAATTTATCCTGAAAGTGTATGTGCTGCTGGTGGTGAGCTCTACCTTCAAAAGCTAGCAGATATAATTGATGAAAAGGAAAAAGAATTGCAAGCTCTGAAAGATAAATGTGCAAAGGAATCCAAGTAGGTAAGGATAGGGAAGCAAAAGGGTAGTTTGATGATGCAGAGCTAAAGCTATGCTATTATCTTCATTAGGAACGTGTAATTGCTTTCTTGTCTTTTTTTTTGGTTAAATGAATAAACACATAATGGATCCACAATTCCTAGTATCTGGGTGTGCTCATGTACCGATCTTTCAGCTTTTAACATAGTACACAATCGCCAGCTTCACGCAAGGATTCTCACCATCCATAAACGCACGCCAACAGCTCCAACACGTCGATCACAAGCATGCTCACCTCCATATCATCTCCACCCCCATCATCATCTCCCGTATCACTGCCTTGACCAAATTCCAGCGTCTCTTTCAAACGAAGGTTGGAAATGATAACATCAACAAGTAGCTTTATGGCCAACTTCAAGAATGGATCGAATACTACAACAATAATGCATGTATCCCAGTCAATGCGCGACGTCAACGCCAATGATGGATGGATAAAGTAGCTGACAATAACCCTTTCCCTTGTCGTTGTATTTGTTGTACTCGTGTGCCTTAATTGGATTTGTTGAAGGGTGTCTTGATAATCATCCGTGTATGTCAAAGTGAAAACGTACCTTCATTCTCATTATATATCGTGTGAATCATTATCTCTGCTGTATGGTATCTCGTATCGGCTCCAAGGATCGAAGCATGAGGTGTGTTGTTGGAGTCTATAAAAAAGCTGGGCTTACTGTGAAAGGTGATAACGTTACCTGCACCCATGCCAACTAGTGTTTACTGCCAGCAATGTGGAACCGATTGACCCGATGACTTGGTGAACACATCATGCGTCGAATTGAAAGGTGCTCAGCAGATTGTAGAGTGGTTCAGATTGTTGGAGAAGTAATGAGGAGAGTACGAGCAAAGAGGTGTCCATGAAAAAGCGCAACTTGAAGGATTTTCAGTGTCGAGGGCTGTCGGGATTCCAAGGTTAATTCGGCCCGGGTATGCTAATACAGGTGGATGAATCAATGCATTTTTCAATGCCTTGAATGCTTCTTCTTGGTGTATACCCTAAACAAATTCACTCTTGGCCTTGATCAATTGTTGCATGGGCTGTGCCTTGTCCGCAAAATCAGGGATAAAACGGCGATAGTATCCCACCATACCCAAAAATGACCGCACATCTGCCTTGCTACTTGGTGCCACCATGTCCAACACCTTCTTGACGTTTCGATCCGTAGGCTTCAATCCTTCACGTGTGATTTGATGACCAAGATACTCAACGCTATCACTTGCAAACATGCATTTGGCCTTCTTGATTCGTAAATTAGCCTCCTTGCAGATATCAAAGACTTGCTTCAAATGTGCCACATGTTCATCCAACGTGCGAGAATAAACAATGATATCATCGATAAACACGTGCACATACTTGCCCAACAATGGTTGTAGAATCCGAATCATCAATCTCTGAAATGTCGCTGGCGCCGTACTCAAGCCAAAGGTAATACGCACCAATCAAACACCCCATACTTCGTCACAAAACCGGTCTTGGGAATGGAATCCTCATGCATTGGTACCTGCCAATAGACTGACGCAGCATCCAATGTTGAGAAATACCTTGCTCCACCCATAGAATCAACCAGCTCTTCAATGAAAGGTAATGGAAAATGGTCCTTGACAGTGATCTTGTTGAGACGCCGATAGTCAACACACAACCGTAACGAGCCATCCTTCGTAGCAACAAAAAGCACTGGTGATGTCCATTCGCCTTGAGATGGCGTAATCAGCCCCAACTCCAGAAGATGATCCAACTCCTTTCGCAGCTGAGTTTCCTCACTCCATGTCAATCGATACGGCTTGCTTTTGATGGGCGTGTCGGTGGTTGTCTTGATTTCATGTGATACGGCATTCACACGACCCAACCCAGCATGCTTCACGGAACAGTCTTGATATTTCTCCAACAACTCCTTCACCTCTTTTGGCTCCTCTTTTTCTTTCTCACACGCCTCTTTTTCACACTCCTCCTCACACACCTCTTTTCTTTTCTCCTCCCCCTCTTGACTCATGCCACCTTCTGAATCAGCGCCTTCGTACCAATCGGCCTTCATTCCTCGTGCCAATGTTGCTGCCACAACCCTGCTTGGTGTCTCATGGGCGTTTTGACTTGTATCGTGCTTTGTTGGCGTACAATTCGAGGATCCGTACAATTCAAAATTGTACTAGTACAATTTGAGGACGTTCACGATCATGGCCGTTATAAAGGATCTATGCAACGACAAAGCGTATTCGGGGCCTAGTATTAGTATAGAGCTCTCTGTGATCGAGTACCCGCCATTCTATCGTCTTTAGTATTCTTCAATAAAGCAAGCGGACCGATGTTATTATTGAATGAGTCCTAAGGATAATGGTACTTGTATTGGCTATCTTTATTTAATAAAGGTTGATTTTTATCTCTGTTGAGGTATATAAACGAGACGCCTTCAGTATAGTTTTTCAAAAAGATGGGTACTAGAAACATTGTAACGAGGGTATTCACTTTGTGCAGAGGGCACCTTGTATAAAATTGCGCGAACGTGACGGACGCCATTTTTCAACTCATGGGATATTCCAATTGGTACCCCCACAATATGGCCAATCTTCTACCCAAGTATCTTGCCTGCCATCTTGTTTAGCCTTTTTTACATCAAACCAACAAACAATAATACCAGATGCAATCATAATCACATACCAGGTTTGGATGTTTGAAATGCTTGTCATAACGCACCCACACCAGCAACCGAGGCTGTGTATGGTTGTATGTGGGTGTTGCAGTCATCCATGCACTTGGGTAATGTTGTTGTGTAATGAGAATGCCTGTCCTTGAATTGTACTAGTACAATTTTGTGTCCTTGAATTGTAGGGATCCTTGAATTGTACGCTAACATGCTTGACCATTTGCAACATAAATACTTGAGGTGCATTTGACACAGCATCACCATCCTTATACTCCTTTGGCTTATGACGAGAATACCCTTGCACCACGACATCCTCTTTGGCTTCTTGAGAAGGTATAGATAGTGTCAACGTTGTCGGATCGATTTTAATGCCATAAGCACGCATCCAAGGTAACCCAAGTAGCAACAAGTCTGACTGCCTTTCCAACACCGTACAATGCTCACGTCGCAACTTGCCGCCAATCGTAACAGGTACATTCACACATACACCATTGGGTTTTGTGTCTCTCTCATCCAGCTGTTGTATTGACATAAGATCCTTGTTGATTGGTAGATCCAAACGCCTTGCAAGTGGTTTGCTTATGACTGACACTGAATCCTGTATCCGCTATGGCCTCCACCGGTTCACCATTGATATGCACCTTGACAGCAAACGGCCTTGCAGTACCCATGGATTCAGGATTGTAGGGATATTGAGTAATTGAGCCATCAGAGAGATATCCATCAGCGTCATCATCTTCGAATTCGGAATCAAACAGGTACGATTCAGAGGCACTTCCTTCGTCATCTCCATCCAACTCATCCTCCCATTCCTCTTCTTTTTCATCCTCCACCTCCCATTCCTCTTCTTTTTCATCCTCAACCTCACTCTCTTCGCCATCGGATCCAACAAGGTTCACGGCATTCACTTGGGTAGACAACGGTAGATTGGTAGTGGTTTTGCGGGGTTTGCGTCCATGAATAGAACGAATGCCATCACACAAATCCTTCGCTGCTTGCTTGTCAATGGCTAACCGATCCTTAAACGACATGTTGACTTGTGCATTCCCCAAAGCGTCCCAAATGTTCTGCTTGTTGGTATCCACCTCGAATCGCCTAGCCGGCTTCCTTGTCCTCTTCTTCACATCTTGCATGGTCACATCCTTGGTCGTACTTTGAGAAACTTGGTTCGGAGTAATAGGCAAAGTAATAGCGTTCGATTCATCATCCACAACCCTTCTCTTGCTTCTCTTCTTCAATGGCGCCGTTGCTTCACCCGATGCTGTTGACCTTGGACGCACACGACCATTCTGCCAAACTTGAACTCCTTGTATCAAGTGCACTTCTTGTTGTTGTTGTTGTGTTGGTGGTTGTTGTTGGAAGGTTTTTGTATTGGGATATGGGACGGCAGACTTCCCATCTACTGCTGCCCCTTGACTTTTCCCGCCTCTTGCATACGTTCATTACACTGATAAGCCTTGTGACCCACTTGCCCACAGTTGTAACATGTCAATGAATATCCACCACCATATCCATGGCCACCACGATTGCCATTGCCAACTTGTCGATTCAGCCTTTCCATGAGATTAATCTCCAAACGATTGAACTTGTCATTCATCTCATTTAAGGCCTTATCGAAACTGCTAATGCTGCCAACGTCGGAACCACGATCAGATGCTGCCATCACCACTGTGCTCTTGCCACTGCTTGTGCTTCTTGAAGATTCACCACCAACTTCAGGAGCACGCTTGTACTTGATACGTAAGGACTCTTCTTTTTTTGCAGCATCCACAGCTTCAGCATACGTCTCCGGCTCCTCTCTTTCAACCTCAAAACCAACATCATCCTTGAGTGCCTTGCATAAAAGATCAATCTTCATCCTTTCATCTTTCAATGCCAAACGTTGAAACAATGCTTGCTGTGCTTCAACCAACTCGGCCACACTTTCACCATCCTTTTGCTTGCGAGACTCCAAACGTCGCCACCAATCTCTCTTGATCGACTTGCTTGCATATCTCTCCGTAAACTTCTCCTCGAACACCTCCCATGTACTGACATCATCTTCATGTTCGGCCCACCAATCGCCTGCTGATCCTTTCAAGTGGGAACCAGCCACAAGAAGAATGCTGCTATCTGAGATGCCACCACGACGTAGTCTTTTGATGCTTCTTAGCCAACCCATAGGATCCTCATCAGCCTTGCCATAAAAATGTTCCGGTTTGGCCAACAATGATCGCAACAATTCCGCTTCGAGATTCCTGCCTCTAGGGGCCATGACACCATGATTTTCTTGATTCGCCATGTCGATAAGTCGATGGATGGATGATGTACCCAATGGATGAAAGTGTATTGTTGGGGATGTAAGTTGTTTTCAATAGTCTGCCGTACGAATGTGTGATAATAATATGCGCAGCTTCTCCCCCAAAATGACACGTAGGGCAGTAAGTTCGTAGAGAGGTTGTCACGATAATCCAAATGAAGTAATCGCAAGGGGTCCTTCAATCGTCAAAACCAAACAATAAGCAATCGCAACTGCTTCTCACAACGAGCTCCAATTCAAAGACAAAGATAAAAGACAAGGGTTTAATAAAATATTTTCATGGCTATTCTAAATACACATCCTCAGACAAATGAGTGGTTGACGACGACAAGGTTTCAGCTATCAAAATCCAGCGACTATAAAAGGCAGTTGAGAGGCTGACTACTCCCCTACAGACGTCTCATGCCAGTTCGAAAGTTTGGTTTAGGTTAAACTCTGTTTCATTAAAGCGAGGCAGCGCGCTATGCAGCATATATGGCCTCTGCCGTGGTGCGTTTGAACTTATAAGTGGTGACATTTAAAAAAACCCCGTGTGAGAGGCAAGGGGAAAAGAAAGGTGAATGACGAAAGGAAGCGGTGGTATGATGGTGATGGTACAAGGTGGGGAAGCTAAAACCCCCCAAAAGGGGAAAAACAAAGTGACACGAACGGTACTTAGTTTTTGAATGTTTTCTCCGGGTTGACTGGGTAAAATTGATATGCAAGCAAACTCACACTAAACAATCTAACGGTTCAATGCTCGAATGCTTAATTACAATAAGATACAGAATTCAAATGGCCACCAAGCTTATCCTCAAGCAGAGTGCACCACAAATCAAATCAATCTTAAGGTCAGGATAATGTTTATTGCATCTTTCATTCGATGTCTTTTATACTTTTCTAATGGCTCTATCTAGCGGATCTATAGGGGGATGATGATGATGTGGTCGTGCGTAAGCAGGTGGTACAATGATAATCGATGCAAGGGACCAGGATCGGGTAACAGGTATGATGTCAAGGAAAGGAAGTAAAGATGTTGGATATGGGATCACGTGAGCACGAGGCAAGATACTACCAGGATGATTATAGGCATTTTTCTCATTAAGGCAAGTTTGACCGGATCATCGGGCACAGGGTGTGTCAATCTCCCCGCTAGGTCAAACTTCTTCTTCACCATACCGTTCCATCCACGCTTGAAATTGCTGTTCCGCACGCTTGACTTGTACATCCGGTATCAATCTCTTGTGTTGAACGTAAGGGATCAAATGATCTCCGTTCACTCCTCCTTGTAGTCGACGTTGATTTGGGCCCACCAATTGGTAAACACCATTCCTCATGACTCGGACCACTGTCATTGGTCCCAACCACCTTGCATGAAACTTGCTTGGCGGAGTTGGGTCCCTCATCAAAACCTTTTCTCCCACAATAAACCCGTTCCTTATTTGCACCGTCTTATCGTATATCTTTTTATGTCTTTCTTTTTCCTTTTGGGCCTTGCTTCTTGCGTCCTCTCGTAATTTCGACAACAATTCACTAATGGCAACCACACGTTGAGCAATCGCTTCGTCTTCTTCACCCAACACAAAGTCTTGTTTTGGAGCTGGCCAGTTTGCGGGAGTCCTCATTTCTTTGCCGAACAACAACATAGCAGGTGTATACCCAGTACCGTCATTGGGCATTGTACGTATTGCCATTAATGCTGGTGTCAAGTATTCATCCCAATCGGCAGTTCCTTCTTTATCCAGGGCCAACTTTGATATGGTGTTCACCAAGGTCTGGTTAAGACGTTCACAACAACCATTACTTTGTGGTCGATATGCAGTGGTAGTAAGGTGCCGACATCCTAGCTCCTTGAGAAAATTGGCTACCATCTATGACTTGAAGTTGGATCCTCGATCTGTTAACAGGTAGTTCGGCACACCGTATTTCTCAATGATTTCCTCGAACATAAACTTTGCAGTAGTTTCTTCGTCGATCCTTGGTACAGCACGTGCAATTGGCCCCTTGGTTAAGTAATCCACCGCTACCAGAAGATAACGATTTCCTCGCTTGGTTGGGTTAAGTGTCGGCCCAACAGCATCACAACCCACCATGTAAAAAGGAGTGGATCGGATGGGTATTGGCCTTGCTGGGTAATTTCTTTTTCTTGGAATCCTTTTTCGTATTTACACGTATGGCATGACTTTACTAATGCTTTGACTCTTTGCCCTAGCCTTGGTGCATTGTATTGTACACGAACTCGCCGATACGTATTACCAATACCGAAATGCCCTTCTTCATGAATCTGCTTGATCACCTCATCCACGTTTCCTTCGTGCAGCAACTCGCATCCCAACTCGTCCTCGTTTTCCGCCTTATAATAAACGCGTCCAGCATACACCTCACACTTCTTTGCTGATCCCTCAATCGTCTCTTAACGGTTTCCGTGGCATCTCTTGGGTACGTTCCTTTCCTTAAGTAATAGTACAAGGATGATTCAATAAGATAAAGAAGGTAAGAGAGATATTTCAAGGATAAGATAATTGATACTTTATTCGTTCTACTGTAACTATTGCTCGTATTTATATTTTTCTAAAAGTCTACTAGGCCGCCAACTGCTCGCTTCGCTCGAGAACGTCGATTTTCTGTGGAAGGGCTTAACACTACATTTGGAGTAATGCTTAGATCTACATACATTGAACATGCTTACTATTACTACGCTCCCTCGCGAAAGATTGATTAGATTTGCGTTGGGGCCACATGGCTAACTCGTTGGAAGGATATTTATATGTGTGCTGACAATGGGGATTAAGTGAAAACTTGTATATGAGGGGATTTGAGGGATGTCTATATAGTGAAAAGAAAGGGAGAAATGTCATGGTGCATATGATTAAAGTAAAACTTCGGTGTAAACGACATTGCGTGTGTAAGACCCTGGTTGTTGGGCGATTTTGGAGTTGTCGCGATCAAGCATAAACCGTACTGAATCAGGTGTGCGAACACGTGACATGGCGACGTAAAGCTGACCATGGCCAAAAGGCGGATGGGGGAGGTAAATGCCAATCTTATCAAATGTTTGGCCTTGAGACTTGTTGATGGTCATTGAAAATGCCAGTCGTACAGGGAATTGGGTGCGTGTAAAAGGAATAGGGCATTGCTCTTCTGGTGCTGTAATACGTATACGTGGTATAAGTACCATGTCTCCAATATGAGATCCGGATGCAACTTCTGCTTGGATGACGTATCTTTGAAAGGCTTTACAAATAAGACGTGTGCCATTGCAAAGACCTTTGGCAGGATTAAGATTGCGTAAAAGCATGATAGGGCACCCAATTTTGAGTTTGAGATGATGGGGCGGAAGAGATGATGGCGAAAGGGAGTTGAGTAGCTCTGGTGGATAGCGTATTTGGTCTTGAGGATCTTTCATGTCATCAGCACTGTTGTAGTCGTACATGTCACCTGGGAATCTGTCAATGATGGTGTTGTTGATATCGGCCACATCCTTGTTCTTCGGTGTCAAAATGGCTCGACCCATAAGTCGTGTGAGGAAAGTGGTGCGGAATGGAGATCACCAAATATGGCATCAATAAGAGTGAAGACATTGTCACCTGGAAGCAGCATGTTGTCAGGGACACGTATGCGATCCTCGGTGCCATGTACAATTGGCTCTCTGCCATCTCCTATGGAGAGGAGGTAATCAGCGAATTGTTGCAAGGTGGTGGCATTGTTGGTATTAATAGCATGCTGTACTCGCATGTTGATTTGAAGGCGATAAACACGCACATGTCTCCAAATGTTGGCATGATTGAGAGCCTGTGAAACGATTTGTGGTCGTGTAGCATGAGGGATGACTGGAAGGACCTGTTTCATACGTATACATCAATAAACATGTAGAATAAGAGATAAAGCAATGAGCAATGATAAGCTCGTATAAAGGGATAAAAAAATACCTGTCGAAAATCGCCTCCAAAAACTACAACTTTTCCACCAAAGGGGACGTTTTCAAGCTCTTCGTTGACATTCTTCATTAGGTCTTGCAAGCTGCGGTTGCCAGCTTCAATCACATGACGGCTAATCATCGAAGCTTCATCCCATACGATCAACTTTGCCATTTTCAATAACCGAGCAGTTGCTGATCGAGGCGTGATGCTGCAATAAGTGGTACCATCGACTTTAAGCGGTATTATGAATGTCGAGTGGGCTGTACGACCACCATGTAAGAGCACTGAGGCTGTGCCGCTTATTGCTACAGCAATGGCTACATCTCCAGCTCGCCTTACTGTATCCAACACGCTATTGAAAAGGTATGTCTTCCCTGTACCTCCAGCCCCGTCAACAAAGAATACCTTGGATAGGTTTCCATGGCTATGCAATGACTGTAAGATTGCATCGTAGGTACGTTGCTGGTCTTCATTGAAGGAAAGAGTTGGCTCTGGCAACAATTGTAACCTGCGAGTCAAGCGTCTATGCTCACGGATGATAAGTGGCTCAGATGGATCATCATGGTTTTCATGTCGTATGTCCTCGGGAAGCGTAAAGCACCGGTAATTAGCGAGTGACCTTGATAATCCAATCATGACGTCTTCAATTGCCAGAAATGCTTGATCATAGATGTAGTCATTGAATGGAAGATTGGGATCTTGAAGCTCTATGCGAGCAGCTTGGCGAAAGTCTTCAGCAAGTACGTCGCGATGCTGTATCCATAACTCAAGCGGATCTTCGGGTGTGCAAAATGCAAGATGATGGCAAATAGCTGACGCATAGCATATGGCATTTGGTAATGAGATGCCTGCTCCAAACACTCATGCCACTCTTGTTGACCGCTTAAAAGCCCAAGTAATCTTGCTGCTGCTTGATACGTTGGCGGCTCATCACCATTCACTATCCTAAGGTCCCGGAAACCCTTGGCACCTGGTACGTGATATAGTAGTAATCTTAAGTGGTATTTTTCCACTTCTCGTGGTGATACATTGTATATACGCCCAATGGTTCCACCATGACCTCTTTCTCGGATTTTCCAACTGCGAGAGTCATCCAAGTGAACGAATCGTTCGGGAAAATCAGGGTATAAGGTCTCGTGAGCTTCCGTATCATTTGGATGGTCGCGATTGTATTGAAACCATGCAGTCAACGTTGTTTCATGCGCACGACTTGCTACAATCGTTGGATCAGCATCTTCATTGAAAGTGACCAATTGCTCGTTTTCAAGGTGAATGGCTAATCGTTGATGTGCAGGAAACTCCTTATGCAATGAAAACGAAAACAATCGCCAGCATCCTTCTGATGCAGATACATGTCTGGAGTCGAGATATTGGCGTATCTCATCAGCGTCTTCTTGGGCATTGTTATTGTTGGAGGTTGTTGATACAGCTACTGCAGCTCTGTCGTGGCCTTTGTATACATATTTGTACACATACTTGATTGATAGGATTGAGCTGCAGATCTCCACGTTGGTGTGTGCATCATATTTGGTGCATAAATACACATTATGGGGTACTACCCATCGGTTGTCAAGCATAGCCCCATTTCTAATGACATAGTCATTTGGGTTTTGTCGCCTTCGATATTGGGGATATCCATCTTCATTGACGATCGTTTCATTCACAAAAGTTTTGGGAAACCCTTTTGTGCAAACACCATCCTTCATGCAAGGTGACTGAGGATGTGTTACACCGCATAGACCATGCATCATGCTTTTGGATACTGTAGCTCGTGCTTCTGGGTACTTGTCAGCATCAGGTAATTCGGCATTGACAATATCATCGCAATCAGCACCATTTCGGGGCTTATGATCTTGGTCAAGGATAAGCAAAATATGGGCATGCGGCAAGCCACGCTTTTGGAATTCCACAGTGTGCACATGGGCGATCACTTTACCAAGAACATGTTGCTTAGTGAGGTCGTGGAGGAGCTCTTTGAGCTTGAGCTTAAAAACCCGAACAACAATATCCGGTCTATCAGGAGCAGATTGGCCTTCAAGCAAAGCTTCTTGGATTTCAGGCCATGATGGGTTGCACGTGAAAGTGACAAAAAGGTCTGGTTTGCCAAATCGTCGAACAATGCTCATTGCATCCTGATACAGCTGCTGCATGTGTCGTGGACCACCGTAAAATGATGATGGTAAAACTGTTCTTCGGCCAACTTCACGCATATCGTTGTCACCTAAACGCATTGCATCCATGACTCCAGAATAGAGATCAGACCTCATCTTTTTTTGGTTTAGTCGTACATATCCAAGGCGGGAGGATTCCATTTTCGCATACATGTCGACAATGTATTGCTGGAATAATTTCCCAAAACGATGCAAATCGTTACGTTGAGAATCATCATCGCGACCACGGTACATCAATCGATACTTGTACCAATTCATCACAGACGCCTTGCGATTGTTTCGGTGTTGAGAACGACTTTCAATGCACCATGCTGCATCACCTATCATCATCGATTAATCAACATTAGCATGTTAACGTTTGTATATTTGACATATGGATGCTTTATATACCTTTAGGGAAAATGAGGACATAGTGCATGGCATCATAATATTGATTCATCTCATTGATGTACTGCAAACCATCACTTCTGGTTCTCAACATGATGTCGCGGTTGTTGTGCCCATCTTCATTTTGATTCTCAATAATGATGATCCCAATTTCGGATCAAACAGGTGTGTTGTAACGGCGTCGATCAGGTGTGCCTTCGGCTTGGATAACCATGTTGACATTCTCAATCCCATGTTCACGTGCAACATCAGCCATTGTCTTGAAATCTTAGACAAATGGATTGATTCGATGCATCATCGCTTGTAGCTCAGCAAGTATATTCATCCTCCAACGTTCATCCACACCACTCAAACCACGGCCTGCAGCATTTGCTCGGGAGTTAAGCTCAGCTGTTGCATCAGGATCATGGACATAGATTTGTGCGAAGGCTGGCGTTGCGTTGTTGTTGGGAAGCAACCCACCAATTCGGTGATGCACAGATCCATGGATACGAAAATTGTACGCGCCATGTTCAGAGTTGGCAACCGAATCATCCAATTGGACACCAAGAGATGTAAAACTCAATGCGTTGTTGAAAACTCGAATGTGCTTGCGAAAATCTTTGGCGCGAGGAGTATTGTCTCGTAGCAATTGGGATAGCTCTGGTGGCGTTTCTTTAAGAGCAGGAAGCACAATGGTTCCCTTGCCGCAACACAACTCGAATTTGGGGTTGTTTCTTGATCCTTCGTTACGCTCATCAATCCACATCCAAGCATGACAATGGGGGCACTGTGCTGTCATGGTTCCTGAAGAATGGCGTTGCGGTATCACCTCGGCTGAGATTCTTGCAACAGGGGTCTGTTTGTTGCATAGTGAGACATTTTACCAAATTAGTAACATGGATTAGCCTTACCTCCTCTTGGGAAGCCCCTTCTATGTTTGCAGAGTTCAGAGGGTAGCTATGATGACTGACTCTTTGGTGATCGGTTGAACCACAGCGGCACATGCGTACAGGGACATCGTTCTCATTGGCTTCGCGAATCGCAACACGTTGAGGATTGAAACGGCAGTGTTGACTACTAATTCGGACATGGCCAAGCTCATTGCAATGAGGGCATCTCTGCAAATCCTGTTCTTGGGATGTCTGCTCATGCTGTTCGTCAGAGAATTGGATAATCGAAAACATAGTTAAAGAAGTTGGTAGTCGCTCTTTGTGTACAGACGCTGCTGTGTTATATATTGATAGGTTTATTACAATAAACGTAAAAAGGCTTTTATTGTATGGACTTCAATGGGTATCTCTTTAGCATTCTATGGATGTGATTGAGGTCTACGCTGCCTTATACATTGCTTTTATTCGCTTGCAAGGATTCGCTTGGAAGTATGCTGGAAGATGGCTATTGAGATAGCGTTGTTTAAAGGGGTTTCCTTTTTTGTATACTTGAAAGAGTAATTACGTCATTACAGTGCTCAATCATTTTAATAATATAGACTAGCGGCCCGGGTTGCTCGCTTCGCTCGTAAACGTCGATTTTGTGTGGAAGGGCCTTACACTATGTTTATAGGAATGAGTACATACATTGTAGGGCATTTGTAGATCATGAGAGTTATATTGGATGTCCGCTGTGTCACTCAAAAGGAGATGTATCCTTCTGCGGAATAAAACATCACATAGCCATACACAAACAGAGTGGGGGTTAACATTCCCATTTTATTGCAAACATCTTTTTGACGGTGAGCGTTGATCCATAAGCATATGGGTCGTTTGACATGGCCCAGCCATATGCTTATGGATCGTTTGACATGGACCTGTAAACTCAATGTCCATGGCAACAGGCGCCGGCGACCTTATAGGCTGCTAGATACTTTAGTGTGAGTGCAAGAGAGAATTAGACTACAGAATTTATGTATCCTTACTCATGTACGCATCAAAGTTCGACGTAACGTTGATCCATATGCTTGTGTGTGGTTTGACATGGACCGGTGAATTCGGTGTCCATGGCAACATACTTCGCCGCGGGCGATCTTGTCTACAATATCCTTGTAGACACTTTAGTGTGAGTGTGAGTGCGAGAGTATCAGACTGCAGAGTTTATTTATCCTTACCTATATAGGCATCAAAGTATGCGGGTAAACCACAACCACAGTGAGCTGGTACATGCTGCAAGTCCATTCCGGTGTTCGACATTGTTGGTACGTGATGGAAATGGTCTTCGACATTCGACATTGTAGGCATGTGCGTTGTTAGATGGCAGTAGTGAAGCATGAAAAAAGAATGCGAGAGAAGGAAAAAGAAGGAAGAATAGTTTGGTTGCTAGGAAGGTTACATAAAGAAAAGATGCATACTGAGTATTAATTGAGATATGGGCGTGTTACGCAAACAACTTTATGTGTGCTTCTGAGAGTTAAAGAATATACATGTAAGGGTACTTTTGGGAATGGGTATCATGATTGATTAGTTGAGGGCTTCAGGGTATACAACATTTTTGGTAATGTGGGATCGGGTATCATCATCGTATTCAGCCATGACATGCAAGTTGCGGTAGTCGGTTACCCGAGAGAAGGCGACATACAGCTGACCATGTGAAAACACTGGTGCAGGAAGGTAAACGCCGACTCGGGAAAGAGTTTGCCCTTGGGACTTGTTGATTGTCATGGCGAAAGCAGCACGTATCGGTAGCTGTCTTCTTGTAAGCTCCAAATGTGTACCTGGGATTTTGGAAGTGAGCTTGATCCTAGGTATGAGAACCGTGGTGGCATTGTGTACAGTGTTGTTTGCAATCTCGGCTTCAATGTAATATTGATGCATGGAGCGACAAATCAGTTTGGTGCCATTACATAATCCTTGTGAAGGGCAAAGGTTGCGCAAGAGAATGATTGGCTGGTTTTGCTTCAAGGACAGCTGATGAGCTGGCATGCCTACAAATGAGAGCAAGTGTGAGTGACGTGTTGATGCATCGATGTAGTATGTGCATGACAATACAATACCTTTAGGATCAAGCGTGTTCAAGTAATCAACAGGTAGATCTTCTTCGGGGGTGCCATCAGAAGAAGAAATCGAATCAGCACTCAAGTACGTGCGTGCATCACCAGGGAAGATATCGGTGGCAATGGCATTGATGCGATCAACGCACTCGTTGGTGGTGGTGAGTATTGCTAGTTGGGCAAGTTGAGGAGCATCGGAAGCGGTGGTGTTGGAGAGATTGGGGTAAATTGTATCGATGATGTTGTGTATATTGGATCCAATCAAACACTGAACATCACCATCAATGCGGATGTATTCGGAATGAGGGGCAACTATAAATAGCCAAAATTGGTAAGGATGTTCTATGCAATCGATAAAGAAAAACGAAATGACTTACTTGTGGGGATGCGGCCTTCGCCAATAGCAAGTAGGTATTGAGCAAATTGGCGTTGTCGTTGAGCGTGTTGAGTGTTATCATTGAGATTGTGTAGACGCATGTTGATGGTGAGGCGGTATACTTGTACATGCTGCCAAATGTAGGAGCGTGAGATACTGGCTGCAGTGGTTTGTGCACGGTTACCACGTTCAATGACAGGAAGCGTTTGTCGAAAATCACCTCCAAAGACGACGATTTTACCACCAAAGGGAACATGTCTAAGTTGTGGATTATTGCGGCTCATGATGTCACGTAACGTACGATCCACAGCTTCGACGGCAAGGCGATTCATCATGGGTACCTCATCCCAAACAATCAAACTTGCGTTGCGTATTTGCTGTGCACGTTCTGTTTGCACTGAAATGCTGCAGGTGGATGTCTCATGCAAGTCTTCGATGTGTATCTTGAAAGTGGAATGTGCAGTGGCACCATCAAGCAGCAAAATAGCAGCTACACCAGTCGATGCGACAGCAATTGCCGATAGGTTGAGTTGTGTACGCATGTGGGCGAGCATAGTGTTGTACAAAAAGGTCTTTCCAGAACCACCTGGGCCATCGACAAAGTATAAGCGTTGTTGAACACTATTGTCTTGCACAGCATTCATGATGGTGTCAAAGATGGCACGCTGCTCAACATTCAATGCACCAACTTGACGTGCACATTCTTCAGGTGTAATAATGCCGCCAGCGGCAGACGAATCTTCTTCAGTGCGGAGTGGAGGAAGCGGTTGTGAAAAGATGGAGTTGTCAGGTAATGATGGCATGCCACGGATTTCTTCAAGAGACGTGTTTTGTTGGGTAAGTAGCCGATCGATATCCCTTAGTGCTTCGGCAATGCAGCGATCCATGTCAACTTCCATATCATTGACAATGTAATGCCATTGGTAATCATCACACAAATATGAAGCATGCTGTTCCCACAATACCCCAGGAAGTGAAGGATTTGCAAAGACCAAGATGGTGACAAAAAGTTGGCGTAGCTGGGATGCGGATGTGAAGTGACCAATAGCTTCTTGCAAGCAATTGTGATATTCATTATCATCCTCCAAAAGACCACGTGCCTTGGCAGCATCCACAAAGGTATCATATAGGTGACCATCCACTCTGCGTAAGTCTTCAAAGCTCCGAGGACCTGGAACCTTGTGTAGCAACAAACGTAAAGCAAAGCGTTCGGAATCACGTGGCGAGACGAAAGGCATTCGACCAATGGTACCACGGCCACGTTGACGTGGAGCCCAATGGTATGGGGTAGGGCTTTTTTTCCAGACATAATGGAAGGGGATCTCGTGGTAGCAATATTGACGTGCATTTGGATCGCGTCTAGAGGATGATGGATGATTATTAGTGAAAGCTGTAAACAAATCACTGACGAATGAGAAAATAAAAGTAAAAAAGCTTACCGATTGAGATCAAAAAAACCCATAAGGGTAGTTGGACGATCCGCAGTACGTTGGACGATTGTTTCAAGGTCATCAGTCTCACGATAATACACCGCTTGTTGATTGGGCAAATGTAATAGAAGCAACTTCACAGCTGGAGAACGATGAAAAAGATTGAAAGAGTACAAACGCCACAATGCTTCTGAAGCTGAGACATATCGAGCATCCCGATATTGCTGGATTTCATTGACCTCTTCTTGCTGCTCATTTGGCCTGAGGTTTCGACGCATTGCCATCAACGCTCGATCATGTCCCTTGAAGACGTACTTGTAAAGATACTTGACAGCTTGAACGCCTGTACATACTTCGACATTGATGTGTGCATTGTACTTGGTACAAAGAGGGACATTGTGAGGTACCACCCAGCGATTGTCAAGGGATACATGATTTGATACACGATGCGTCCTTCCATTGTTGGGTCTTTTGTAGATAGGGTACTTTCCAGATGGTGCATCAGTGGTTTCTTCTACAAAGGCCTTTGGGTATCTCTTGCTGCAACGACCATTCACCATGCATGGGGCTTGTGGGAAAGTTTCGCCACATGGGCCGTGCATCATCATTCGTGTAACAGTCTCGTATGCTGCTGGATGCATTTGCGGATCGGGTATCTCAGCAGAAACAATTTCATCGTAATCACTTGGTCTACGTGGCTTACAGCTTGGATCCAAGATAAGCAGAATGTGTGCATGTGGTAGCCCTCGTTTTTGGAACTCGATGACCATGAAGTCGGCGACCACCCTCCCCAAAACATGTCTGGTTCTAAGGTCCTTCATGAGTAGATCACACTATATAAGAGGTTGGAAAGATATGGGATGATGAGTAAAGGGGTAGTAGTAAACAATCAGCCATGTACCCAAAAAGTCTTACCTTTAGCTTGAATACTCGATTGGTTAAATCAGGGCGATCAGGAGCAGTTTGGCCAGGTTTGAGAGCCGATGTGATTTCATGCCATTGTGGGTTGCACGTAAATGTGATAAAGAGATTGGGTTTTCCAAGCGTGCGAACAATTGCCATGGCATCTTGATAACGTGCATGCATATCACGTGGACCTCCAGTAAAAGAAGGGGGAAGGATGATATGGCTACCAATTTCTCTTGCAGTCTCGTTTCCCATTGCATCGATCACACCTTGTAAGGATTCGGCACGTAGGATTTCTTGGTGCGTTTCAATGTAACGAAGGCGTTGATGCTCCACCTTGATGTACATGTCAACGGCATACTGATGGAAGAGGCGACCATAATAGACCATGTAAAAGTCATCCCGATCTTGCAAGAGGTATGCATAAAAACGCATTGCTGTATAAGTGTCACCATCGTCGTCATCAGGATTGGCTGTTCGTCGGGCTAAACGTCCTATTATTACATTGTTAGAATTTATCGGTACATAAAGGTAGGACATGATGTGATTATAAATACCTTGAGTTGGTGCACACCAGCCTTGTTCGCCTCGAGGGAACATGAGCACATAGTGCAATGGGTCATATAAAGGATGTAACTCATCAATGTGCATAAGTCCTTGGCCATGGGGGCGGATGACAATATCACGATAGGCCGTAGGGGAAGGATAAGAAGGAACAACAGCAGCAATTTCACCAGAAGCAGGGCGTAGAAACTGGCCAGCATGACCACGGCTTGATGAGCGATCAGAATGGATGACGATGCTGAAGTTGTTGCGTTGTTCATCTCCCAACAAATCGGCAGCGCGTCTGTAGATATGAGCGAAAGGATTATGATTAAAAATCATGTCTTGTAGCTGAGTGACAATGTCATGGTCAAGGCCGCCGTTCAATGCGGTACGCATGTTGACTTGTTCATTGGGATCGCATATGTAGATTTGGGAAAATCCAGGTTCATGATGGGAAGGGACCATTGAAGTGGCAATTGAATGGTGAATAACACCATTGACACGGAAAGTGTACACCCCTGCAGTGGCATTTGCAAGCTCACTATCAACTTATACATCATTAACAGAAATGGTTTGGGTTAATGCGGATCTCATATTGTTGGCTGTCATTGAGTGTACCTGAGCATGAACGGATGTGAAAGCAAAAGCCATGTTGTATGCTCGAATACTGGTGCGAAAAGTCCTCGAAACAGCATCTTGGCCGGTGAGCAAATCAAGCAACGGAGCTGGTGGTGGTGATGGCAACGTAAGTGTAACCTTCCCTTTGTTGCAGCAAAAGGAGTAGCTGGGATTTACAATGCTTGAGTCGCTGGTACGTTCGGCAATCCAAGTCTTGGCTCCGCAATGGGGACATGAATGCGACATTTCTCCAAAAGAGTGTCTGCCATTAGCCGAAATGCCTTGGCGAGCATCGGCAGTAGGCCTGAAATTGGAAGGCAGGATCCTTGCATCGTAAGCAACTGCGTTTGGAATTTGCTGCTCATTGTTGTTCGTGATTGCAGAGCCATGGTTTCTGTTTGCAGCATTAAGTCGACACCTATGACTGTTTCGGCGTAAATGGCCCAATTCACCACAACTATTGCATCGAGGCTGAGGATTGTTGGTGGTAGTGGCATCAGCTACAATGCGTATTCATGCATGTCAGAGATCAGTCACGTGAAACATTTACGAAGGTATGCATCCTACCATGCTGGAACGTGACACCAACGGCTTCGTTAACATATTGAAAAGTCAAAGCTTGATCAGGTGTTTCGTTTACGAAGGTATGCATCCCACCATGCTGGACCGTGACACCAACAGCTTCGTTAACGTGATGAAAAGTCAAAGCTTGACCATTAGCCTGATTAGCACGGCGTGCAGCCTGAGCTCTAGGGTTGGCAGGGCAAGCACTACTGCTACTGCGAGAGTGTCCAGAGCGGCCACAGGTTCGGCAAATTTGGATTTGGATAGACATTATGAGTTGATCGAGGTAATGTTACAAAAGCAAGTAGGAACAGAGGTAGAGTGATGGACGGTCCTTTATTGATTGCTTGGTCCATTATTTATAGCTTTTTGAATTGAATCTACATGAAGGATTGCTCACAGCTGCCAAGACATGATCACTATGCAAGAAGCGAAGGTAGTCGTTATCGCACGTAGCAGCCAAGACAATCCTTATTCAAGATAAAAGCCTTATTTGAAGATGTGAGGTGTGGCGCCAAGACAATCCTTATTCAAGATAAAAACTTTATTTGATGATGTGAGGTGTGGCGCATGAGAAGAAAAGAAACCATGATGGGCTTGGCGGTACCCCTAGTGTAACAAAGTGTAACTAACGTTTCCGATGTAAGTGTCAAAAGGAATGTCGTGGAAGGGATTATGATGATATGGCTTCACCAACAATAAAGAAGTGTATGCGACGTGCTGTCTTTGGGAGATTCGAGTGATTTGTGTAATGTTGATGCCTTTATTGTGAGAAAGCAGCTAACTCATGATGGCTCACCACGTGTTGAAAGTGCTAGAAAGTTGTGACCATGGAAGGCATGCAAGTGTCAAAAGGAATGTCTTGGAAGGGATCACCAACAGTGAAGAAGTGTATGCGACGTGTGGTCTTTGGGAGATTCCAATGATACGTGGAAAGGTACGTGGAAGCTTTCCAGTGTTTTGTGTAATGTTGATGCCTTTTTTGTGAGTTAACATCCTTTTTTGTGAGTTAGCAGCTAACACGTGACCCTTATTTTTTTAATATATAGTGTTAATGATTCGTTTGCTGAAGTAAGTGATTACAAATATCCAATATCGTTGATGTCATATTCATCATCTTCATAATCACCGCACAACTCGGGTCCCATCCCAGCGGCTTTATCTTCATCATCGGCCTTGGCAATCATAAGGAAGTTCACGGGTGCACCAGGTAGGAGTCTGGATAAAGCGTCGGCAGGGTTGAGTTTCCCAGGATGATGCTTGACTTCGAAATCATACTCCATTAGCATCGCGGCCCATCTTTGGAGTTTTGATGGTTTGGTGCTATTCAACACAAACGCCACAGCAGAGCTATCCGTACGTAGGATGAAAGATCGACCTGCGAGGTAATGCCTGAACTTTTCAACGGCCCAACATACAGCTAAAGCCTCTTGGTGGACAGCTGAATACCTGATTTCTGGTCCTCGTAACACCCGAGATTCGTAAGCAATGACTGTTTCCTTGTCCGAAGTACCATCTGGTGATTGAGATAATATGGCACCAATGCCTATTCCGGAGGCGTCTGTGGTAAGGATCTGGACCTGAGTGCGATCGGGAAAAGCCAACGTTGGGGGATTGCTCATGATGAACTTGATCTTCTTAAATGCCTCTTCTTGTTTAGTACCCCATTGGAACGTGCTATCCTTCTTCAAAAGGGATGATATGGGTGCGAGGGTGTGAGCGTATTGATGCACAAAACGCCTGTAATACCCGCTAAGACCGAGAAAGGACCGTACTTCTTCAACCTTACGAGGTGCAGGCATATTCAAGATCTTGTCCACATTGCGCGTTGTTGGTAAGAGCCCTTGATCGGATACCACGTGACCAAGATATTCCACTGACTTCTGCCCAAAACTACACTTGCTGTACTTCAAACGCAAGTTGGCCTGGTCGCATGCCTCAAAAACCAAGCGCAAATGTTGTTGGTGTTCTTCCATCGTTCTTGAGTAGACAATAATGTCGTCGATGAAACAGTATACGAAACGCCCGATGAATCTTTGCAGGATGGTATTCATGGTTCGTTGGAAAGCTGAAGGGGCAGAAGTCAATCCAAAACTCATGACATTCCATGTGAAGGTCCCAAAAGGACACACAAAACCCGAACGCTCAGAGGCCTCCTTGCTCATAGGAATCTGCCAATATCCGCTGACTGCATCCAAAGTTGAGAAAAAGCAAGCACCTCCCATCGAATCCAACAAGTTGTCAATTTGAGGTAATGGATAGGCATCCTTGATTGTTCGTTCGTTCAGCTTTCGGTAGTCCACCACCAACCGTAATTCACCATCTTTCTTTTTCACAAAAAAGATTGGCGACGTCCATTGCCCATTGGATGGTGAGATCAACCCAAGGTCCAACAACTTCGTAAGCTCTTCTTGTAAGTATTTCTCCTCTTCCCATGTAAGGCGATAGGGTCGAGATCGGATTGGTTCAAGGCAGCGAACAGGTATCTCATGTTGCACACCGATTTGGACCGAACCCAATCCACTAACTTCAACGAAGCAGTGTGCATACTCTTGGAGAAGGTCTTGGAGCTCATCTGGAATGATCGTAGTATCCACCGATTGGTCATCTTCCAATTCTTCTTGATAAGGTTTTGGTACCACCATCCTTGGCTCCACAATTGGATCGGGTCCTTCATCCTCCATGATGTCATCATTCACTTGTGCAACGTTGACGGCGAATACAGCAGAGGTGCGTACATCTTGTTCTTCAGCTGATCCTTGGATAACGATTGAATCACGTCCTTGTTTGATAGGAACAACAATGGTGGCATCGGTATTGTCAACTTGCACACCATGGGCCCTGAACCAGGTCATTCCTATCAAACAAAGGTCGCGATCAGTCTCGATAACACACATATGTTCCTTTCTTAACTTCCCTCCTATTCTGATAGGTACATCGCGAACAATCTTGCATGATGGACCCGTGGCTTCTCCCAATGATGACAATTGCAAGGTATCGTTTGTCGCCTTTAATCCAATTTGGTCCGCTAAGCCTTTGCTGATTACCGAAACGCTTGCTCCAGTGTCGAATACAGCATCAAGGTAAATGTCATGGATAGAAATGGTCGCACGCAAAGGTCTGCTATTCTTCATCTTCTCATAGTTGTATGGATAGTCCACGCCTGTATCATCCGAATCGTATCCATCCATTGAACCTTCATCGCAATCGCCAATGTCAGACCCAAAAAGCTCGAATTCGCCATCCTCCCATGAGTCGACAGACCACTCGTCATCATTATCTTGTCCCACATGGTTGACATCCATCATGTCGGCATTTTGAGGTTGTGCAACGTTACGAACACGTGGTGGATCTGTGGTAAGATACGTTCTCACCTAGATTTTGTAGTAATAAATCTTGGTGTGTAACGTCGACCCAGCATATCACCCAATAGGCAGTCAATTGTGAATCATGCGATATGTATTATATAGATGTGCGGTCTGTGTGCTATCGTGATTTGAAAATCGAGGTCACACAATCATTGTAAGGCTCATGTTCAAAGTTGATGGTACCTTTTCACAGTGAATGCTGCTCCGGGCCGATGCCTTACAAATGTGAAATTTATATATAGTATTTAGGTGCTTCCGATCTATATGCAATAACCACTTTACATGTATGTTGCAATAGTGGCTGGCGAGCGATGAAAGCCTATGAAAAATGATTGGTTATTTTGTAATAAAAGTTGGACAAAAAGTTGGACAATGATCATTTTTGCTTGTAGTGCCTGACCTAGTTAATAGATTGTTCTCCAATTTGGTACACCGACGTCTTCCACATGTGGTAATGGATGATAATGATTTCGCGGAGTTTTGGATGGCTACAGAAATTTAGGCTGTTATATCAGATTATATGCTCCACAATACCATATACTATAATGTGCAATTCTCTGTATTCGATGTAGAAAAACTTTTCCAAGTCACAATTGTCCAAACATTCATCTCCGATGTAAACGCTATAAAAACAATCATTTTGCACTTCACCCGGTATCGATGGACCACTGCATTGATGAGATATTAAAGAACATTGTAGACACCTGTGAAGTTTTTTCAAAAAGAGTTTTATTGAGTTTGTGTAAAAATATTACCGAGACTCGAACGGGGACCATACATATGCTAAGCTAGAATGATGGCCACTAACACATAACATACATATTGGTGTTAGATCCATATCCAAAAGCTGAGGGCAACCACCAATTTAATTGGTAGTTGAGGTAAAGTAAGTCTATATGATTGACTTGCCTTATATAGACTTTTTTCTTTTGACTCGGTGGAATGACTCGGATCCATGTTATGTAAGATTCATTAACCATAAATAGCATAGTTTAGTGGCAGCTGAAGCTTCTTCAAAGAGTATAAAAAGGGATTATTTACTTAAATGCTCCCATGTCCATTTACTTTTTTATTTCACTCACTCAACTATGTCCAGAATCCCATCCATTCCATTTCATCAAAACGCGCATGCCAAACCTTTGACCTTTTGGGAGCACGCAGAGCACCGATGCAGCTAGCAGGTAATAGGCAACATTGGTTAAGATTATTTGGATGCTAATGTGTATATTAGATACCTCTTTGATCAAGCGGTTTTCTATACTGAGGAATCTGGTTATGTCGTTGAATGCCGCAATGGAACCCCAATGCGTCTTGGTCGTTCTGGTGCTCGTGGTCTGGTTTGGCGCTGTCCTCTTCGTAATTGTTGCAACCGTAGCCAAAAACCAGCACGTTTGGATTCTTTCTTTTATAGATTGAAGGCTCCATTAGAGCGTAATTATGGTGATTTACCTTTTCTTTATGGCGCGTACACATATGACCCAGCTGGATATGATGACTGGCTTGAACGCTCGGACATTGCGTACCATCACAAGGCTCTACTGTCAGTGGAGCAAGACCTAACTATGGATGACGTAAAAGTTGGTATGTAAAGGCAATGTGGGTAGTATGCATGTTAATTAGTAGCATTATAGGCGGAAAGGATCCCCGAGACTGATGAACGAATTATCGTGGAGATCGATGAAAGCAAGTTCGGGAAACGCAAGGATAACCGTGGTCATCCCGTTGATGGCGTTTGGGTCAGGCGGTGTTCAACGCACACCGGAACGCAAGGCATTCATGATGGTAGTGGTTCAAGATCGTAGTGCTCGACATTGCAGAAGATTGCCAAGCGATTCTCGTGTTGAAAGACTCTCACATCAACACCGATTGCTGGTCAGGATACAATCGTCTTGATGAAATACCTGATATGAATTATGTTCATTTTCCTGTTAACCATTCGGAAAACTTCGTTGATCCAGTGCATGGTACTCATACAAACACGATTGAAGGTATGTGACTTGGTTGTTCTTGTCATTGTTTCTTCTAACCAAAGGCTTCTGGTAGGTACTTGGAATGGTATCAAGCAAAATGTCACTGCGCGACATCGCACAAAGAAGATGATGCCTTGGAAACTGGTCGAATTCATTTGGAGGCGCAAGCACGATGACGACTGCGGGGTGGTATCATGAAAGCGTTAAGTTGCGTGCGCAGTAACACCGCTAATGGGTCCGAAGATCATCCACCCCAATCATTGTTGACTGAGGTAATCGATCAAGATGGTCAAGATGAGGATGGTTTTGAAAGTCTTATCAATACTATATTGGAGGGTAAGTTCGAGCTCCTTTTTTACTTTTATTCATGACTAAAGTTATATATATAGATCATCATGAAGATGGTCACCGACGTCGTCGACGACGTATTGATGACTTGAGTGATGGCAGGTGCTCAGCTTATCAGATCAACTTAGTGATGAATCATCTGATGAGGAAAGCGATGATAGTGGATGAGGAAGCGATTATATAGAATAAACATTTTGATAGTCACATAAGTGATCTCATAAGACCATACACTGCCAAACTGTAGCTTTTTATAAAGTACATGATAGCGATCCAGCATATATAATAGCCTAATGCACACATTGCGGAAAATCGAGGTCCGCCAAATTTCGTGACTTGGCGAGTAGACTTCGAAACGAAAGATTCCGATTGATATACATTTCACCGCAGTCACATTGCTGGGGCCGGAGATATCAACGTTTAAAGATCCCAACGCGAACGTATCTTACCCATTAACCCACGTGGTCTCCCATGCAAGTAACGGAGCCCATCGCGAATGTCATTGTATGCTGTCTTGTCCATGGCTAGCCAATCTGCAATCGAAAGACCCAAATCCATTGACAGCAATTGGCTCCATATATCCTTCTTTCGGAGTGCAACGGGTAATCGTCTAGGCGGACGGCGTTTTCGGCGGACCTTGGTTGATGAAAAGTTTTCACCGGCAAGTTGTTTTGCCGCCGCTGAGTTGGCTGCACGGGTAATTGGACCTTTTCCCGTATTTCTTTTTGCTGCCATTGTCGACGATTCAATTCCTGCTTCCTCCGCTGTTCTCTTTTGCGCATTATACACCTCGACCAAATTCACCGATGTATCTTTGGCGGAGTCTTTTTCTTTCTTTTGGTTGGGGTTTTTTTGTTGGGATTGGACATTAGCTACCCCATTCACTGATGCCCATTGCCTTTTCCCGCCTGGGGGCAATCACTAGCACGGTATCCTTCTTCCGCACAATTGAAGCATTTAAATGGCTTCCATTTCTTGTTTGGTTGTTGAGCCTTATCCACCAGGTTGATCTTCAAAGTGCGCATGCCTTCCACCAATTCAGAAAGAGTCGATCCCCAGGTATCTGATGCCACGCTTCCCTTGCTAGAGCCAGCACTGCTCATCTTCTCTTGCCATGGGCGATGACCAACATCAGCGGTAGGCACCTTTTGTGATGAGAAACCAGGCTTGTGATATTTACTCATCACCAATTCGATCTTGCGTGCTTCTCGAACAACAGCATCCCAGGTCTTTGGTAATCCATTCTTTTCGAGTTCAAAGGCAATGTCAAACTTCAACGACTGCACAAGGCATCGAATGTGATATGACTCATCGGTAACATTGACTAGGCGGAACAATTCTTGAAGAGACAATGCCACGTCGTCTACCGTTTCCTCATCACCTTGCTCTCGAGTTTGGATTTTGGCCCACCACTTGTCCTCCAAGGAGGCTGCGAATTGCTTTTTGAATCTTTCCTCGAACTTGGCCCAAGTAAAAACCTCCTCTTCAATGGAATCCCACCAAAGAGCTGCTCGCCCCACCAAATGAGAAGAGGCCACCAACAAGATTTCTTCATCCTTGAGCTCCAATCCTTTGCGAATACGACCCAAATGCTTTAACCATGTAAGGGGATTACGATCATCAACTCCAGAGAAGTCCTTGGGTTCCTCCAGAAACTTGCTGATCTTGGATTTCCGGCTGAATGAGTCTTGTACGGAACGTGCTTCGTTCATGATTTCCACCTTGCTGACACCAATTGACACTAACGGTACTTAGTTTTTGAATGTTTTCTCCGGGTTGACTGGGTAAATTGATATTGCCACCTCATTATCAAACAATCTAACGATTCAATGCTCGAATGCTTAATTACAATAAGATACAGAATCCATAAATGGCTAATTGCCATATCCTCAAGCAGAGGCAACACAAATCAAATCAATCTTAAGGTCAGGATAAGCTTATTATCTTCATTCGACGTTTTTATACTTTTCTAATGGCTCTATCTAGCGGATCTATAGGGATGATGATGATGGTCGCGTAAGCAGGTGGTACAATGATAATCGATGCAAGGACCAGGATCGGGTAACAGGTATGATGTCATTAGAAAGCAAGAAGATGTTGGATATGGGCTCACGTGAGCACGAGGCAAGATACTACCAGGATGATTATAGGCATTTTTCTCATTAAGGCAAGTTTGGACTGGATCATTCGTACAGGGTGTGTCAAAATGAGACGAACGGCACAGTTCTAGTTCTTGTTCCGGCCTTGTAGGTTCTTGATGAAAACGATTATGCAATTACTTCACGAAAGCAACACACAAACTCAATGATAAACGACAAATGTATACGCCAAGGTTCTTCAATCAAAGATACAGGATTTCCAAGATGAACAGGACATGAGGATAATGATTTCGTGGTTGATGTATATGGTTTCGTGGGTGATGATGTTTTTTTCATGCATAATGATATATATGAGTTCGTGTGATGGTTTTACTCAGGGCTACGCTTTTGGTTTCGTGGGTGATGGTATTAACTTCGTGGGTAGCGCTTTTTATTTCACTCAGATTCGTTTATGCTCGCGGATATTGGTTCGTGGAGGATCATTTATTTTTCGCGCAAGATCATTTAATTTTCGCGGGTTGAGGAAATGGTTCGTGGAGGAGTCTTTTAACAATGGGGAAGGCGAAGAGAGGTTTTCATACAAAAAAAGTCGAGTACAGCTCACTGGCTCCCCCATTGTTCAAAGACTCTTCCACGAACCATTTCCTCAACCCGCGAAAATTAAATGATCCTGCGCGAAAATTAAATGATCCTCCACGAAACCAATATCCGCGAGCGCTAAACTACATGAATCTGAGTACGAAATAAAAAGCGCTACCCACGAAGTTAATACCATCACCCACGAAACCAAAAGTAGCCCACAAACCAAAACCATCACCCACGAACCATATATCATTATGCATGAAAAAAACATCATCACCCACGAAACCATATACATCAACCACGAAATCATTATCCTCATGTCCCTGTTCATCTTGAAATCCGTACGCTTTTTCAACACAAAGGTAAACTCGACCAATATGTTTGCTCGCTAATCTCAATACGTGATCAGATAAGATGATGTTTATTCGAGTTCACAGCTAAGTGCTTATATAGTTTTCTATGAGTGACTAGCTGCGATGATATAAAATAAAAATACTATTCTCAGCCACGGGTACATGGATTATTTCAAGGGACATACTGATAAAAGAAATGTGAAACGTGAATAGAAGGGATGAGTCATTGTGATGGAATAACAAGGGAGAACAACAAGGGTAATGATAACAACAAGTAAACAGCATGATGATGATGAGCGATGGCAATGAGGAGCAGGTTGAGATCACGCGGTTGGCAGGGTCGATGGACTTGAATCCCGGCATCCATGGCAACGATTTACGAGGAATATTCTCAATAATCAATCGAACATGAGGCCGAAGACCCGAGATTCCGCCTTCCATGATGAGTAATTTTGGGCCGGACTGACGCTGGACACGCGTAGCTGAAAGAAGTGATGGTAGAAAGTTTGGTTTAATGGTCAACATCCATACCTCTTGCGCAAGATGTATGGGTTCGATTCCCGGGGATTACCTTTTTATCATCAGTGATGTCTATATTTTTGTCGCATATTGTCGTATTCGAATCTGTGCTGGTAATCCAATGGCCAGAATAAAGAATAGACGAATGAAGCTTTTTGCTGATTGAAGATAAGAATAAATATAAGATATGGTTTGTTCATACAAGAGAAAGGGATATTTATAATATTCTAAAAGATAGGCGCAGTATGCGCAGCATGATGATGGATGATGATACAAGTGTTGCGCAGCATGCGCAGTAAAGATGCGCAGCGGGTCATAAAGCTGCTGCGAAGCAGTGTGTAACAAAAGAAGTAGCGAAGATCACGTGTAACAAAAGAGTGATACGACAATACCCTCTCCAGAATAGATGCTGCCGTCCTCGACAAGAAGAAAAGAGAGAGAAGGAGAGAGAAAAAAAATCACGAGGATTGTGCATTGAGTGAAGCTTGTTGACGGGCTTTGAGCACGAAGTGGTGGGGTCATACCAAGAAACGTTGCCGATAGAGGATCATCAACAAAAAAAACAAACGCATGAACATCAATTTGATGTGGATTGGCTGAAGGCGATCTGTGTGGACCCCAAGAAGCAAACTGGTTGCCGTTCATGTCTTGAAGTTGGTAGATGTGGGTATCCAGGTGACGAGCAATGATACGATAAGGACCCTTCCAGTTGTATTCCAAGCTGAACTTGTTTTCATGTCGCATGAGCATGGTCACCAACAGCAAAGACTTGAGGTTTCATATGGGCATCCCAACGAGTCTTGTCACGTGCAGCGTTATCCTTCAAACGTTGTTCAGCAATGGCACGTACTTTACGTAATTCACGAACAGCAGGCACACGTCCTTGAGCGGCTTGTTCCAAAGTGGTATCAGAATCTATCCAAAGGCGAGAGAACAAATGGCCTTAAATGATCACCAGGAAGTTGGGGTTCTTGACCATATACCAGGAAAAAGGACTGAAACCAGTGGTACGGTGTTTATGAACACGACAAGAAAAAGAGCAGGCTGTACAAATTCATCCCAACGATGGATTTCCAGCCGGACATACTTGCGGATCATTTGCTTCAAGATACCATTGCGTGTTCTGCCTTGGCATTGGTGCGAGGATGAAAAGCTGAAGTGAGCTTGTGCTTAACCTTGAGTCGACCCAAATAGTCAGCCAACACCTTTGACATGAAGTTGGATCCACGATCGGTCAAAATTTCATTCATACAGCCAAAAGGTAGCACCAAGTCTTCGTAAATGAAATTAGCAATCGCTTCACCAGACGCAATAGGAACAGCACGTGCACAACACCAATTTGTGGCATAATCCACTGCAACAAGGAGCCAACGATTGCCATTCTTGGTTGTAGGTAATTCGCCAACAAAATCCAAATGCCAACCAGAAAGGAGGGAACATCCAAAGGGGCCATAGGAGCATGATGGGTCTTGCGGTCAGCATTTGCAGCTAATTGGCATTCGGCACATGAAGCTAACCATTCTTGAATACTCCGGTTCGCATGTTAGGCCACCACCAACGCTTCACCATAAGATCAACAACGGTTGTTTTACCAGCATGACTAACCGAGTAGTGAAAATCACGTACAAGATCGGCACGCCGAGTAAACGAAAAACGTAGTCGTTCTTCTTCTTGTCACCAACACGCACCATCCCGAACACCTGCTGTCACGCACCACGAATTTGTCCTTGTGCTGGAGGAGAAGATCCCATGTTGTGGGCCATTTGTCTTCCGGCATTGCATAAAATTTGGGCCAATCCGACTTTTGCACCGACTTGACAGCATAAAGATATTGTAACGCATACTTGATTCATTGGTGACAATATCGGACCATCACGCCTTGAAAGTAAATCCGGGACAGTTTTCCTTTGCCAGGTTACAATGGTGGGATCATACAACTCAATTTCCGCCATCCAACGTGTGAGACGAGGCGTAGGCTTAACTTGTGTCCGGAAATACTTGAGTGGGTTGTGATCAGAGAAAACCGTATAAGGACGTCCTTCAATGAAACACCGCCAAGCTCTCAATGCATGAAGGATAGCAAGCATCTCCTTTCTTGTGCGATAAGATCGTTCTTCATCGGATAACTTCTTGATTCGAACGCAATCGGATGCTTTACGCCATCGGGTCCTTTGTAATAGCACTGCTCCCCACACCATAATCACAAGCATCCGTCTCGATGATGTATGGCTTGTGCGGATTTGCGGTGACAAAATAGGCTTTGAGAAATGCGGGGGCTTTGATCTCGTCAAAAGCGCGTTGGCACTCTTCAGACCAAACAATTGCTCTTTCTTGGTTCCCGTTCCTTTCGTCAAGTCCGTTAACGGAGACGCCATCGCAGCAAAGTCTTGAATGAAACGACGATAGTGCGATCCAAGACCAACGAATTGTCTCACTTCTTGCACATTGGTGGGCACAGGCCATTCTGAATCGCCTTGACCTTGCTTGCGAAGCGTAAGGTTCCCGCTCCAGATACTTGAAAGCCAAGAAATTCCAACTCGGTCTTGTAGAATTCACACTTGCGAAGATTGGCAATCAACTCTCATCCCCAGACGTTGCAACACCTTGCGAACATGCACCTCGTGATCGGCCTTGGTCTTGCTGTAGATCATGATATCATCCAGGTATACCATCACAGTCATCATGAAGTCATTGAGCACTCTATTCATAGTGGACTGGAATAGAGCAGGCGAATTGGTGAAGACCAAAAGGAACTACCAGCCATTCTAAGAGCCATAACGAGTGTTGAACGCTGTCTTCGGGAACATCTTGATCACGAATACGCAGTTGATGATATCCACTTTTCAAATCGAGACTTGTGGAAGCATGGGCACCACCGAGACGTTCCAAGCATTCATCGATTCTGGAGGCAAAGGATGACCATGACGTCGAGTAATCAAGATGGCGCGATAATCGATACACATGCGTAATTCACCGGACTTCTTGCGCACAAAAAGAACAGGTGCCCCCCAAGGTGATGTGTTAGGGCGAATTAGACGTAAGTCTAACAATTCTTTTAGTTGTTTGCGCAACTCGTCCAGCTCCAAAGGGCTCATCTTGAAGGGTGGTCGATTGATTGGTTCGGCATCTCCAGTGTCAATGATATGTGCTAAGCATCCCGTTCACGAGGTAAACCAGGCAAACGGTCTTGAAACACGTCTGAACTCATTGAGCAATGCATCAATAGACTCCTTTGTCAACGTTTCGGGAGGCTTGACATAGCAAAGATAGAACTCGGAGATCCTTTGAGGCGATCATGTCGTTGTAGTTGCCGATCTGAAAGTAGGTAGGCCAAATCGGGAAAGGTGCGTTCATGTTTGGGACGAAGCAAATACTGATGACCATTCTTGTTGATTTGCCAAGTGTCGACATCCCATGCTGGTATTGATCTACAGCTTTCAAACCAGTCGCGTCCGAGGATAATGTCAAATCGGTATCCAACACAAAGGCATCGACGCTGTGCTTGTACCCCGCAGCATCCAACACCAACGTCACTTGTTCATCAATCGACAATGTGTGTCCACCAGCAGTTTCAACAGCACGACCAGGCACCTTCCTTCGAGTTTGACCCATGACCACGTGTGACGAGACATATGAACATGTAGCACCACTATCAATCAGGGCACTTACAACAACACCATTGCAAACAATAGAATACAAAGGTAACTCAGTCTCTTTTATTGAATACAAGGCGTCAATGTAAGCTTGATCCTGATTAACGGCATTGTGGTCTATGCTACTAGTTGTCACCGGTTGAGAATCTTGATCATCCTTGTCATCCAAATCGATAAGCGTTGCTTCTGGGACTTGCGAATCTTGCTGCACCATGTGAAGAGATCTTGAGCGCGGTAAGGATCTCTTCACTCCTTCCGCGCTTTGCCTTTAAAATCGCCAGCTTGTTGACCACGACCAGCACCACGAGAAGACGAATTGGGTTGTGATGGACACAAACGAGCGACATGGCCCATACCACCACAATTGTAACATTGTTTGTCATGCATGCTACTTGTTGGGTGATAAGACCGAAAGCCTGGCTGTCCACCATTGTTGCGCCATCTTTGTTGAAAAGTGGTTGCGAATGACATCAAGATCCATAGGTGCGACACCATCAGAACGCAAGTATTCAGGAGGTCGTGTATCTTGACGAGAGGTGTTGTGTTGGACAACAACTCATGACGAATGTTGCGTGCACTTTCATAAGCCAATGCTATGCGTTGAGCTTCTGCTGATGTTGAAGGGAACCGGGTCACTACATGTGCACGAATGTCATCTTGAAGTCCCTTTGTAAAGCGATCGAGTGCTTCCTCACTGCCGGCAAGTCGGGATCTGGATACGTACGCCACGAAATTGTGCAACATAATCGATAACGGTGCCGGTTTGCGCAACACAGCCAACTTGTCGCGAGCTTGTTAAAGTTATGTATTGAGTGGTCGAAATTCGACAATGATATGCTTGAAAATCAGCCTGAATTTTAGTCACCGCACTTCCATGAAATGATCGTTGCTCCCACCATTCTTCCGCTTCATCCGTAACTTCATGATAGCAAAGGGCACCCATTCATGTTCCTCCAAAGTGGACAGCCCAGAAGGTCATTCCAGTGCGAATCCAACTTTCAACAGCACCTGGTGATCGATCTCCTTGGTAAGTGTCTGGTTCCGGAAGCTTGGGTCTGGTAAAATTGTCGTTCTGTTGGTTGCTTTGTTGTTGTTGTAGGAGCTGTTGCATGCCGGCCTTCATAAGCAACATCATCTGTTCTTCCATGGTAGGTGCTCGTCTCTGCTGTCCTTGTTGTCCTTGTTCCATAGCTGGTTCTTCAGTAAACTTGGTTCTTGTCTCGTGGTAATCTCTTCTTCAATCACTGCCTGGCGTTCGATATTCTTGAAAACTTGCTTTTGTTGAAAGGGTTGTTGCTGGATGGATCGAAATTTTGCATCAGCTACCAAATGTCGTATTCGTAATCTGCGCGCTGGTAATCCAATGGCCAGAGTATAGAATAGACGAGAGATAGCTTTTTGCTGAATGAAGATAAGAATGTAAGATGATGTTTATTCATATGATCGAGAGGGGTATTTATACTATTCTATAATGCGTGAAGGCGCAGCAAGATGGTGGTGTTACGAAGTAAGCGCAGCAAGTGTAATAAAAGAGTCGCGCAGCAATGATGCTGCGAAGCAATGTAACAAAAGAAAGATGGAAGATCACGTAACAAAAGGATGCTACGACACACTGCTCAGGTCGTGATCAAGAATGGCTGCAAAGCAAAGGCCAAGACAACAAATGATAGAAGATGACTTTTTACAAAGAGATAAAGATGATGATTTATTTTAGAATACAACATGTTCTTATATATGTGTGTGGATGTAGATCAAATGAAGGGAAAGGGAAAGTGTTGGAAGGCTGTGACCGTGTGTGATGTGTAAAGGAATGTTGAGGAACATGGATGGAAACGCGTGATCTGCCAGGTAAAGAGGTGTGTCCGAAAATGTGTCAAAAGGAATGTCATGGAATTCAAGTGATCAAGATCATGTGATCTCGTCAAAAGGATAAAGAAGTACATCCGACAATACCCTTCCGAGATTATTGGTCGTCCTCGATCCAATCGTGTTTGGCGGTAGGGCGAGAAAAAGATGGTTGATGACGATTGTCGGCACGACTTGCAGTGGGATCATACCATGGTTGAGAAGGCTTTGAAGATGTGTTGACAGGCTTGAGGCGACTGCTGCACCCACGAATCATATGCCGACCTACATCAACTAATTTGTAGGTATCAGTGTCGCGGTTACAAGCAACCACTCGATAGGTCCTTCCAATTCAGTTCCAGGTTGACACGATTTTCATGCCGCATTAGCACTAAGTCGCCAACTTTGTATACATGATGTTGCATATGGAAATCCCAGCGATCCTTATCAGCTTGACGATCTTTCGATGTACGGTCCTTGGCAATGGCACGAGCGTCACGTAAACGTTGAAGTGATGGCAAACGAGCTTCTTTGAGAGATTGTGAGCTTGTGTCGGAGAGGTCACGAACAATAAACGGCTTCAGAGGATCACCAGGGAGCACTGGATCTTGGCCATACACCATGTAGAAGGGGCTCATATCAGTTGTGCGATGTTTGCGGATTCGAGCGCAAAAAGAGCAGTATCCAGATATTGGTCCCAGTGATTAACAGCACCATTGACATATTTACGAAGCATCTGTTTCAATATGCCGTTGGTTCTTTCGCATTTGCCATTCGAACGTGGATGATAAGCGGAGGTAAGGACATGTCGAAGCTTTATGCGAGCGATATAATTGGCGCAGAACCTTGGACTGAAAGCTTGCACCACGATCAGTAACAATCCTGTGGGCATCCAAACGTACATCACAATTTCATAAAGCGAAATAGTAGCAATGGTCACAGTAGCTTCAGGACAGCTCTGCGATTGGCCAACTTGTTGCATAATCCACTGCCACTAAGATCCAGTGCCGATTGCCTTTGGGTGTTGGGGGAAGCTCGCCAATGGTAAATCCAGGTGCCATCGTGAGAATGGTGGTGGTACATCAGTCAGTGCATGGGCGCATGATGCACGTCACGGTTGGTGTTGAGCAAGCTGACATTGAGGACACGAAGCAACCTAATTCTTTTATGTCTTGTTCCATGTTCGCCACCAGTAATGACGTTTGACCAAGTGAACAATATTCTTGCCAGCAGCATGTCCAAACCACGATGCAGTGAGTCCACCAAATCGGCACGAAACAGCAAACGACAAAACGCACTTCACGAGTTGTGTCGCCATCCTTTTCATCAGCCTGAATACCATGCTTCTGTCACGGACGACAAACTTGCCCCGTGCTTGTTCAACAAATCGCGCAACATTTCAGGGCGCCGTTCCCTCAGGGAATAATAGAACTCGGGCCAGTTCGATTCTTTGAACCGAAGTCACCGTGTAAAGCGTGTTTTGCCCATATCGGCACTTGTACTTGTACATTGAGGGCCATATCGTAATTTTGATAGATACGCCTGTAATACGATTCTTCTCTTGCTCATTTGTAACGGATCTCAGGTCGTAAAGCCTGGGCTCAGCTATCCATCTTGTAAGCCTTGTTGTGGGTTTGGATTGTGTTCGGAAGTAGTGCAAAGGATGATGATCAGTGGCTACCATAGGGACGACCATCGATGAAGCAATGCCATGTTCGTAGTGCATGAAGAATCAAGCAATTCCTGCTCTTGTGCAGGATACGACCTCTGGGCTGGTGACAACTTTTTCGATTCGAATGCCACAGGATGCATCAAAACCCATCATCACCTTCTTGAGAGAAGGTGACTGCACCACCGCAATCACACGCATCGGTTTCCACAACAATGGTTTATCCGGATTAGGAGCAATGAGAATAGGAGTTGACGACATGCAACTAAGCCAGATGTGATCAAAAGCTTGACAACGATCGCTCCATTCAATGGCACGCAACTTATGCCCTGCACTTTGAGAGATTCAGTTAAAGAGCTGCGATAATATGCAAAGCTCTTGATGAAGCGCCGATAATGTGATGCAAGTCCAACAAATTGTCGCACCTCTCGAACGTTCGTTTGGCACAGGCCATGATTGGATTGCAGCCACCTTGGATTTGGAAGGTAAGATGTAACGCTGATCACTGACATGGAAGCCAATAAATTCTAACTCCGCTTGTTGAATTCACACTTCTTCAAATTTGCATACAACTGGGCCTTGCGCAAACATTCCAATGCTTCAGGCAAT